TTGGGTCTTCATGTTTTGTTGAACTGCTAATCAAGGAGATGCTGGATTTGAGTTCTGTGTTCTGGATAAAACACTATGCTGGGAAACAGCCTGGGACAAACACACCCCTTGCGTGGGTACGCACTGGAAATTTGAGCTGTAAGGAACGGTATGATCCGCATAACACTGTGGGCTACAGGCAAGAGAGAGCGAGTGAGATTTTATAGGCGAGTAGGAAATGCCTGCTGAGGTCTTTGACTGCTTGTGTTTGTTTGTGGCTTTCACTGTCGCTGTGGTTACACTACAGTGTATGTGTGTTAAGGGTAACAGTGTAAAAGGTTAAATATAGTGCATATAATGTGAAGACTAAAAATATTGAATGACCTCATGAAATGGGGCAAGCACAGCTAGGGTGAGATACATGGGAGGCACATGCATTTTTTTCATAGTTAATAGCCTTGCATTTATGTCACAGTCCAGGAGGTCTAGGAGAAACATGGATGTTTAAGAGAACAGTCAATCACAAGTAAAAATGGTAAAAGTATAATGAAAATACTTCCATCTTCAAGAATCGGCTAAAAACACATCTCTTCCATCTTTACTTGACCCTCTAACGGTCGCCGTGATTTTGCCAAGTAAGACATGTTCCTGGATCAACAACTTTTGTTGATCCTGGATCGACATAACTGTCCAAAAATATAGACTTAACCCAATCCCTACCTCTAAACCTAACCCTACCCATAATTTATTCCTAAAAACAGTGTGAAATGATAGCTGATTAACAAGGGTGTAGAAGCACCTAACCCTGATTGTAAGCCTAAAACAGATATTTCCTGAAAAGTTGTCCCTCAATTCTGATTGGTTGATAGGAATGTTGTTCCAGGATCAACAAGGTGTCACGGTTCGTGGGTCCGTGTGCTCATTCCTGTGTGTGTGTTGCGTGGTTGTCTGCTGCGTCTGGCAACCCCACCTCCTAATCAGGTGTTCACCTGAAGCCTATCTGGGCTGCCTTTATCTGGCTCACTTTTTCACGGTCCTTTGTCAGTTCGTTGTCTCGCTCACCACTGTTTGTTCTCTCCTAGACTCCTAGTGTGTTCTCTGTTATCGTGCTCCGGTCCTGCTTGGCCTTTTGTTTCCCATTGGCCAGACTTCTGCTCTCAGACTTTGTTTCTATGAGCTTGGACGTCTCTCTCGGATTATCTGGATCTCCTGTTTGTTTCCACATTCGGAGAATTCATAATAAACTGTTTTTTTCTTCACTCGCAATTGGATCTGAGCCTTGATTTCATGACACAAGGCTGTTGATCCAGGAACATGTTGTACTTGGTGAAATCACGATCACGCCCTCTAACTCTAGCACTCTCTATTCTAATTCTATTCTTAAAAAAAAAATACTTACCTCGTTTAGACTTGCACTCTATTCATTTACTAACTTGTTTTCTTAAAAAAAAAAAACAAAAAAAAACGAACACTAGCTTCTCTATTCTTTTTGTATCCTGTGTATTTGTTTTCTTTTTATTTATTATTCAATTAACAAAAAGCAAAAAAAGGCCTCTAACACTAGCTTGCCCTGTTCTTTTTTCTATTCGATCTGTTTTCCTTTTATTTATTATATAATAAAAAAAGCCTTGCTATGTGTGCTGCGTTAGGCTAACTGAGACTTGTTATAGCACTTGCATATTTTGTTGATTTTGATTGCTTCCATTGTCCTCACTTGGAAGTCACCTTGGATAAAAGCGTCTGCTAAATGACTAAATGTAAATGAAAATGTTTCACTTTGTATTGCTCACACAAAAAGAAAAAAAAAAGAAAAAAAAAAACATGGCTACTTTTGTCAAACCATTAGTGGAGAAAGATGTTTTTTGGCAGCAGAATGGTGTCACTGCATCTACTGGCGAAACCTTGACTCTTTTGGGCAAAACCATGATTTGCTACATGCTATTACTGTGCAGGTGGTATTAAGGTACACTTTCATTGTAGTGATCATTTGATTGGACTACATTTTAGTCATTTTGATTTCTTCCTTTCATGCTTTCAAAGTTATATTCATCATACTGCAGTGCTGTATCAACAGCAGCTACGCTATGTCATGTTATCTGAAATATTCAGCCAACTGCTGAAAGTCATACATGAGAATATTTTATTACATTGTGAACATAGCTGCGATCCACTTATTGCTACACTGTATAATACTTTTGGTGCCACTTTCTCTGTTTGAACACAAAACACTTTGACAAGAAGCCCATGGCTGGTCTTTAAAGTCTGTTTTTATCCTGCATCCATGACAGAAGGAAAGGTTGAATGTCAAAGCTAAAATCAAAGCTGCTCACCTGAGGCTTAACACGATGTACATTCAGTTTGTTCTCATCACCAGTGTCATGGGCATATGCGCCTATTATCATCACCAGTAAATTAAGAAAATGGCAGTGCGAGAAGACAATGATTTATTATCAGTATGGCACAGGAACTCAGTAAACATGCCGTCCTGTTTTGTAACATCATTAATTGTTCAAGCATGAGATGACCTACAATTATCAAACCTTCTATATTATATCATGTTGATTCCTGTTTAGTTGATCCACTCTGACTAATTCCTGACTGGAGGGTTGAAAATCTCCTGCTAAGCTTAATTAGCTATCTTCATTATGAAGATATGCGGGTCTATTGCCTTTAAATTGACGAGAGGCACTGCCAGGCAACACACGGCTGCATCATTTTGCATTCATAGCTCTTTTTAAGCCTTCAGATTGTACTGCAAATATTAGATGCTAATTTATGAGTTCATTCCATTATCTGGGTATGCTTGCCGTATGATGTACCGTGCATTTTAAGTGATAATTATTGGCTGTTTTTTTATTAGGAGAATCTTTTTGACCTTGTTCTTTTGTCTTGGTTTAAAAAAAAAAAAAGAAAAAAAAAAAAAAAAAAAAAGAAAAGTGTTTTGCAATTGACTGCGCGACAGAAGATATGAATAAAAGAACTAAAAATTAATCACTTTTGTAATCATGAACAATAGACAGCTCGAGCGTAACTGTCCAATTTAATTAGCCTCCATGTAATACTATTCTTGAATTGTCCATTTAAATATGGCATTGGACTTTTTCTCTCGCATTAAAGAATAGGGATACATGTTACAAAAAGAGAGACACAATTTAGCAAGATCACACAAGTGTGAGGGATAATCCAGAGCAAATTTAATACACGATTTGGAGGCAAAGAATCAAGAAACACTGCAGTTGTGTGAATTAGCCTACCTGCATGTGATGGGTGTCTGAGGCTGGAATCAAACTCAGGTCTTCTAGTCAACTGAACTGCCTCTTTTACCACTGCGCTATGGTGGATGACAAATAACAGATGGACCCAAGTGCAGAAGAATAACATGCAGGCTTAGATGACTGAACAAAAAGTGCTTTACTGAGGAGTCCAAGGTCAAAAGTACAACAAAAAGGAAGCCGTGCTTTCACAGAAAAAATACAAGAAACAAAAGATGAGCAAAAGGCAAATCCAAAACCACAACCGACTTAGCTTTCTTGGTGAGGATAACACATGCATAGTAGGCTCAAGACTGAACACAACTGAAAGAAAGAGGCATGCTTAAATAGGCAAAACACAAACAAGGTAATGACCCACAGGTGGGAGGAATCAAGTCCTAATGAGTAGTAATACAATGAATTCTACAGAAGCTAGGGCCACCTAGTGGCTGGGAGAGTCATTACACGGCATAAGTGTCAGTGCCAGCTAATGGTTGGGAGAGTCATTACAAGTCAGCACCAACTAGAGGCTGGGAGAGTCATTACAAGCTGGAGCCTTACACTGCATTATCTGTGCTGCGTCTCTAATAGTGAAGCTGTGATTTAATGTCTTCAGACATTGTCATTAAATATATAAACTGTCAATGTATATGCAAATATAGATATTTATAATGTAAACATTTATCCTGTCATACTTTATTCATAACAGCAGCAATAGAGGATGACGTGTTTATGAAATTGCAGCCAGGAGTTAGTAAAACATGCTCACTTTTTACTTAAATCAAGGTGACGATCGTGGACATATTAGTGGGAATGAATTGTTAGTCTGTGGCCACAAAATAATGTTTTTCTTTTCTTTTCAGATTTTAAAAGTTGTGTAGTGAATTCCAGCCTTTAGATATGTTCTTGATAAATGTCACAGAGCAGCAAGTTTCTGTACTCCTGATTATTTTGGTTTGAGCAGGACCATACATGTGCTACAGTGAAGGCAGTGAATTACTTTAAAACAGTGATTTGACTGGAACCATATGTCCACGATTCCAGCCAATCAGAATCAAGTATTGGTAAGACCATTGGCAGGTAAGTGAAAGTGAAGTGACATGTGGCCAAGTATGGTGACCCATACTCGGAATTAGTGCTCTGCATTCATCCCATCCAAAGTTCACACACACAGCAGTGAACACACACCTGGAGCAGTGGGCAGCCATTTTTGCTGCGGCGCCCGGGGAGCAGTTGGGGGTTCGGTGCCTTGCTCAAGGGCACCTCAGTCATGGTATTGAAGGTGGAAGAGAGCACTGTACATTCACTCCCCCCACCTACAATCCCTGCCGGTACGAGACTCGAACCCGCAACCTTTAGGTTACAAGTCCGACTCTCTAACCTTTAGGCCACGACTTCCCCAAATATAAAGTAATATACAGTTGTGGTCATAAGTTTACCTAAATCTTGCAGAATCTGCAAAATGTTAATAATTTGATCAAAATAAGAGGGATCATAAAAATAGTATGTTTTTTTGTTTGTTTTTGTTAATTGTTAATTAATTGTTAATACATAAATATTGAGTAATTCAGTTACAAGTCTGACAAAAACTGACCTTCTGGCAACAAAAATGGAAAAGAAGCACATTAAGCTTTGTAGAAGCCTCAGATTTTATTTTCTGCCTTTCTGAAAATATTTTATTTTATTTTATTTTATTTTTCTTATTTGAACAACGGTAATTTTAAATGCAATGACAATTTATTTAATATCCAAAGGCTGTATTTTAAAAACATTCCATCTACACAAGTGGGGTAGGTGATTATAATTGGAGAAACTATGCAGAAACTCAGCGGAGAACTGCAAGCTCAAAAAGCCATGTGAAATTGCTCAAGGGACCCCACTCTGAGTCATTATAGGCAATGATTATGATGGGAGCATTTTGGAGTGTGTCATGTTGCGTCATTAGCAGTGTAAGTAGGGTGTCACTCTGCACACTCTGAATGTGTGTGTCAAAGACACAGCCGGTGCGATGAATATGAACATGGAGGATAATTGTGCTGGGTTGCATTTTATACGATAGTTTGAGTTTTAAAGTGGAAGAACGTTTTTCATTCTGTTGTTTTTTTTTTAATCATCACGGACATGGAAGCAAAAGTGAATTTTCTCAAAGGCCTAAGGATCATTAGATAGCCTATATGATACATTAATACTAATTTGATAAGTTTTACTAGGAGGCATGTCTGTAATTAAAACAGGCCATACAGTTTATTATGGCTAAGCATTTTAGATGGACCACGTTCACACAGCAGCAGACTATGGTTGTCAGTCCTGTATTTGAGTCCTTTAATACAGTTACATTCACACACAGTTTGCTTATTTATGCATTCTTTAACCAAACTCAGAATATTTCGAGACTCACAAATGTAAGTAAATGTGGTTGTCAATCCCAAACACTGACATTGCTAACGTAGCCATTGGTAATATTCCCCGATTACCAATTTCATATTGGCCTGTGGGGAATGAAATTAGTAAAGTACATGTGCTCAATGACACATTTATTGAAACTTTGATTTAATTAGCTTGAGAAAGGTATTATGCATAATCATGAATAAGTTACATTTTTGGAATTTGCCAATATTCTTTTATCAAATCCATCAGTGTAATGTGGGCAAATTAAACAGGACTAGAAACATGTTCAGTGCATAATTTAACTTGTTTACTATATATCAGTGTCTAAAATGGCTCATGGGCTCAATGTCTGATTTTGTCACCAAGCAATGCATAGACTGACGGTCTGTTGGAAACAGAGTTGGAGTGGAGCGATGACAATTTGCCCTCCTCACTCAAAGTGATCTGTGAAACGTCCCAGTATGTTTATGGTAAATATCAGAATGTCAGTTGCCCAATCAAATTGTAGCGCAAGAACTCTTAATAATCTGTATAACCTCGTATATACAGCATCTGACCAAGAGAGTTAGTGGGAATAATGCTGTGTGTGTGTGTGTGTGTGTTCGAGGGCTCATGTGAATGCTTCAGAGCTTTTTAAATTAATTCCAAAGCTCTTTAATTTAACAGGAATATCAATGAAAGGAGAAGATATGGCTGATGAACAGCTGAACAAGGAAAAAACTGTGTCATAACTGTGTTGTTGGAACATGGCTTAAGGGCCAGGGCTGTTGTACCAAAATCACAGGCAAAAATATCTGTTACTCTGACTTGCATATTGAGATTCACAGTGTTTTGAAGGGAATTGGAATCGAGCATATATGCACTTTCTCAGTGCTTTAGGTTTTATAAATATTTTTCCAATTCACTTTCAGCTCTGAGATTAACAAAACAATGTTACACACTTTGATTTGAACATATATTATCAAGGAATGGACCACAATCCCAAGACGATGTGAATGACATAATCAAATAAAGAACACAAATAACAATATGCACTGTAAACTTGAAAATCTCAAAGATTTAATGCCATGAACAAGGCAATCGAGTGATTATTTCATCCTCAAAAGCACTTATGTCTTGTAAGCCCCATTATCATGTAAACACAAAATTTTTGCTAGGCAGACTGATAAAAATGCTCTTACTCCCAGAAGTCATACAAAGCCAGCCAATCAAATTAGACCTTGCCAGATCAAGAAAATGATTTGCAGTTATGTGCGCAATATGCATCAGACAGTCAGTGAATGGATTTTAGGCAGTCTATAGAATGTGAGGTTTAATGTTTGAAAAAGTGGTCTGGAGGGGGTACAATTCATGTGAACACCAGAACAATTAGCAACTGTCCTAACTAATGGATGTTTATGGATTATGTTGTATAATAAAAAAATTGACCATTTATCGGTCAAATTAACCTCTTAATCATCACATAAAAATTCAGCACACTGGTTTGCCACTTTACATATATCTTTGTTAGTTATGCAGACAAATACAATATATGAATTATCCAGCATACAGTACATGAGAACTCCTTCAGAACTGCTTAAATCAGGTTGGTATGACATCTGCTAGTAATCACAAACGTAACACTTCTCTGTCAAGAGAGCAAGCTAACAATAGTTAATTGTCAGATTTTAAAATGTGAGCAGGAAAGGGCCGTCCCCAACTCCTACATGTATACACTGAATGGACCCTCTGTTTCTAGCGCATTCCAATGAATATACAACAGCTTGAAAGCAATCTGGGAGACCACATATTATCATTCTCAAACCGTTTCATGTCAACGGCAGTGCTAAAGTCAGCAGAAGGTAAAACATTTCTTTTAAAGTTATACTCTATTCTGCCATTTTAGGATTCGGATGCACAGAACATATATACTATGCAAGCATTCTTTACTTCCTCAAATGTTGTAGGAAATGAAGTGTCAAGCTTTCTTATGTCATCATTTTTAGGGTGGGAAACAAGTTTAAAATGTTGTCACTATTAGCAAGACAGACACGTATTTCATCCCCAGGAGCGCTCTGTTTACAAAATATATTAAACTGAAATCCAGAAAAGGCATGGTTGCAAAATGAATTGGCGTGAATTGCAGCAGCAAGATTTTGTAATCACAGCTCTTGATTCATGTTTCAGAGTGAAGACACTGCAGTTTATGTAACACTGAATGTACACAGCACTCGGTTTGATTCTATCATTTGTTGGCACAGACAGAAGCTTGATGGCTCTTTGTTGTTTTTCATTTGCTTCATGCTGTTCCTCTGTGTCTACTGAAATCACTTTCATAGTATATCTATTTTACAGGTCACCACTGTGTTTGCAACTAAGCTGAAGTCTTTCACCTTTGTGCCACTTCTAAAAAGACTGCCTGTTGAGAACAAGGTTTGGAAAAAGGTACTTCAGGCAAGGAAACCAAACAAGGTAAGAACTACTCTTGAGACAGCTCAGTATGGTTCCTGTTATGTATGCCATATTGTGTATGCCAAAAGCATGAGAGGAAAAAACATCACACTACAGGGGCCCGGTCTTCGTACGTTGCTAACTTGGTTAGCTGGATTTGATTGTTGACAATTTCGCTTGATCTTGGATCATTTGGTTCTTCGAAGCTCATCTTCACATTTGACATCGACACATGTCATCGACACATTTGTTGCTGTCATAGCAACAGGTCCGTAAGATTAAACCTGCTCGGGAGAAGCTTATTTCATGTAAACAGAATTGCATTCATTTGAGTGATGACAGCTATTATGGGAGTGGCTTGATGGAGCGCAGGAGATGCAGATAACTTGATCTTGACCCTTAAGAAACTTTAATTAATGCTGTCACGTAACAAATCTACTTCAAAGATAAAATTAAATGAACTGCTAATTACAACATTGAAATAAAAAAGTAAAACCTGTACAAATACTAGAAATCGTGAATATAAATAATTGGGAATCATAAAAAATACAAATAAATTAAACATTTAATTTATCTATTATAACATGTATGTAGTTTTGTTCGCTTGGCTGTTTCCTTATAAAGGTCCAGAAACTTTTTCGTCAGGTGTCTTTTTTAAAGGGGTCATATGATGTTGCTAAAAAGAACATTATTTTGTGTATTTGGTGTAATGAAATGTATTTATGCGGTTTAAGGTTCAAAAAACACATTATTTTCCACATACTGTACATTATTGTTCCCTTTCAGTCGGTCACTCTCGACGTCACGTCGGATGACCGACGAAATTGGGATCTCGCTTAGAGAGACCAATCTACTTCGAGTGTACATCTTTTTCCGCCACTGACCTCTCAGTCGTGGTACCCAAATACTCGACAAAGAGCAATTGCTCTATTTCTGGGTCCCCAGAGGGGACGGGGGGTTGTGGACGATCCAGTACAGTCGACCTGACGGACGCGTACTTCATGTGTCGACCCTTCCGCAGCAGAGACCATTGCTGTGGTTCGCGTCCGAAGGACGAGCATATCAGTACGATGTCCTGCCCTCCGGGCTGTCCCTGTTGCCCCGTGTCTTCACGTAAGTTGCGGAGGTACCCCTTGTTCCCCTGAGAGAACAGGGCATTCGCATTCTCAACTACCTCGACGAATGGCTCGTACTCGCTCAGTCTCAGGATTAATTGTGCGAACACAGGGATTTGGTGCTCTCACACCTCAGCCTGCTGGGCCTTCAGGTCAACTGGGAAAAGAGCAAACTCTCCCCGACGCAGAGGATCTCTTTTCTCAGTATGGAGTTGGACTCGGTCAAACAGACAGCACGCCTCACGCAGGGACGTGCTCAGTCGGTGTTGAACTGCTTGAATACATTCAAGAGCAGGATGGCGGTCCCACTGAAACAGTTTCAGAGGCTCCTGGGGCATATGGCAGCTACGGCGGCAGTCACGCCGCTGGGGCTGCTCCATATGAGACCGCTGCAGCACTGGCTCCATGGTGGTTGAATCTTAACTTTTATAAAGAATATCTCTTTGGATTTGAGACTTTAGTCTTTTCAACTTTACAGATCTTCTTTATGCACCAAGAGCTTGTAACACTCCAAAGAAAAAGAAAAAATTGAAATCGCATCAAATGACCCCTTTAATTATATGATGTCATTACGTTGCTGTCTTGCCACTAGCCAATCGCTGCATTGCTGATCGTGGTTTTGAGTATCGATACATCTGCCCTTTTCGGGGAACAGACACGAGAACAAGCAGTAATCTTACCCAGGGAACAGGTTAATTATTTACTTTGTGCTTTTCCAAACCAATATGCTGTTATTTTTTTTCCATGGAACATGAATGTATTGAAATCTTTACACAGCTCTTGCCATATAATGACAGTCTATGTGAACAAGCTTACAAATAGCACTATAGAAGTGTCATAAAATCAGTCCATATCACTTATGTGCTATATTCCAAGTCTTCTTAAGTCATACAGTAACTTTCTGCGAAGAACTGACCCAAATTTTTCATTATTTGCTCAAAATCTTTACCTCCACTAAAGTAAATATAGTGCCTTGTTAAATTATTCTTACCCCATAAATTACTTTTTTTCACATCAGTCTGCACTCCAGACACCATATTGAAAAAGCAAAAAATAAATAAATAAATAAAAATGAGCTCAGGAGCATTCATATCACATGTAGATGTTACTACTCTTTGAATTGCTTTAACCTGTGGTAAATTCATGATTTGGAAAGGCACACACCCTTCAATAAAAGTTCTAACTGCTAAAAATGCATATTTGAGCAAAAACCAAGTCCTGAGGTCAAAAGAACTGCATGTAGAGCTTATGAATGAATTATGCAATGTACTTATTCCAGTTTTTCCTTTTTCCTTTTTAAATGTGCATAGTTGTCACATCTGTTTTTTGCCTTATTGTTATGGTGTATGTAGTGTAGATTGATGTGAAAAAAAAAGTCATTTAAAGCAGTTTAATATAAGGCAGCAACATAACAAAATGTGAGAAAATGAAGGCGTGTGAATACTTTCACAAGGCACTGTAACAGCATCTGGGTTTCAAAAAAACAGGGTGAGTACGTAATACCAGAATTTTTATATTTGTGCAGACTATTCCTTTAAGGTGCAAATACTGCACAAATCTATAGGGAGTGAGACTTTAGTGATTACGGGTTCTTAAGTTCTTCCCAGAGTCCCTTAGCAGAGGATGATCTATGTGTGTGTGTGTGTGAAAGCGAAAATGTGAAAGGCATTTGCTGAAGGCTTACACAATTAGGGTGGGTCATGTGTATGTGAGCAATACATGAGGGACATGGACTTCTGGAAAAAAGATGTACAAGCTGGAAGGGGAAACACACGCACATATAAATGCATTCAGTAACTCTCTTATACCGTGAAGATGCTCGGGAGCTAGAAATAGCCATCCGTAGCAGAGGCCTGCTTTGGGACGGCTGCCGTTTCTGATTTGGTATCGCATAGTAACATTTCCTGTTCCAATGCCAGACTTCACAAGAGCCAGGGGACACTGAGAGAAGCATGGCGGAAGAGGGTGTCTACAAAGCAGAGGTTGTTTACGTCCAAGACCCTGAAGAGGGCCAGCTTGAAGAAACGCTCAAGAACACCACTCAAAGTGAGGTGAGTGTTTTGGTACATTCTGTCCCAGGGCAAACACAAACTCCTGATGAAACATTATTCTTTAACTCCCTGCTGTACCTTCTTTAGAATTGCATATTATAAATATGTAATGACAAAATGACTGACCAGGAAATAAGTTATTGAAGCAATGACTTTTCAAGAAGTACAGTAATTTAGAGATGAATTACTGTTTGTAGTGTACAGCTTAATTATTTGAGTTGCTTTGGGATGACTTCTTAATATCTTTTAATGGGATACATCATGATATTACATATGCTGGTCACACACGGCTGTTTTCTGTGCTGATCAAAGGTACTTGCGATCCCCTGTTAATTAAAAACACACATTAATGCGCCTACACAGTAGATCAAGTTCTGAGTGAGCAACAAATGGATAAAAATGTTTCTTGTGTCTAATTAATCTGTGCCACTAATGTCTAACAGAAGCTTAAAGATAATGACTGTTTTTCTAAACAGGTTTTAAAGACTCCTCCTGCCAACGGCATGCCAAATTGGGTTGCTTAAACATAAAGATTATCATTCCAAGTGGTGCTGGAATTATAACCTTGATATTTAAGAATAGATTTCCAAAAGCACGACTGAATCCGCTTATCTGAAATTTGCATTGGTCAAAAGGTGCCTACATCACAGTTTATTGCAACAAAAGTTACAATTATTGGTTGCATGGCTAAGTGTCACTTAAAGCTGGGAAATGCTTCTGATGCAGCGGAAACTTTAATGTGTAGATAGCCTTTCAAAATCGCCTATACAATCAAACAGGCCCATTAATAAACCCCATGGGGTCTTTATGTTTTGTACAATTTGCAGTAAGAAATAATCAGACATCATTGCAATCATTGCTCAAATGAAGTGTGTTTATGGTTCTTTAATTTTCTTTCTTTCTCAGATTCTGTCAGCTGACAATTTAACCCTTAAACCACTCACCATGCTAGCTGGGCTTCACGCAGAATCTGGTAGCATAACCCCCGAGCCTAGCCCAGCCACCATGGAAACCACTGATAACAAACACCTTGGCATTTCTCAGCTAAGCTTTCACAACACTTCACAGGCTGCTGAGGTCAGCTCAGGTCTGTTTTTAAATAGCTCAGCTCAGAGAGAGGAGGCCCTTAGCCCTGCCAGCTCCATGGATTTTTTCACTTCCCCTGCTTCTTCTAAGGAGTCTATTCTCTCCGAGGGCTGGGACAAGGAGAGGAGCTGGTCAGGGCTCCACATGTTCTCACGGGATGGTTCTCCTGGGCCCTTTAGTGGCACGGTTTCCCCATGTTCTTCCATAAGATCCGGGGCCTTCACACCTTCTGTGGTAAGAATCAAGAGACACTCCTTGGCTCCGGGCTCTAGTCTGCTGCAGATGTCGTCTGCTTGCGAAACACCCTGCTGTGACAGTCGGGCAAACTCACCCTGTCCTCTTACGCCCCGTGCACGGCACAGACTCCCTCCAACCCAGCTCTCCCTGTTAACGGCCATCCTCAGGAAAGGTCGTCTACCTGTCCTGTCCTCTGCTTTTCAAAGACCTTACATACCCTGCTGGCCCATCAGTCCAGTTAACGTGTCTTCCTGTTCAGCATGCTCAGCTGCCTCTTCTGTTGCACCCATGAACGTCTCTAAAGCAAAGTCTTGTACCTCCATAGATAGACCCCGTACTGAGTCTTGCCAAGTTTCAAAGACGCAACTATGGAAACCAGACCATAGTTCTCTTTCAGTGTCATCAATGGTCAAGACACCTGATGAAATCCCACTAATGAAACCTCCAGAAAGACTTGACTCATGTCAACATTTCACTAGTACTAGTCACATCGTCTCACCTACAAAACACAGCCCTTCACCAAGCTTACCTAGAGTCCAGCCTACCAATTCTCACCTGTCGAAATCAGGTCACAAAGGAAATAGTTTACCGACAGTTCCTAGCTCTCTTTTGTGCAGCTCCCTATCCCGGATGAACTCCTCATCTCCTAAATCAAGCTCTCTGTCTTGCTCCAGCCCTGAGAACCAGAAAAATCCATCAGTGTCAGTGGATAGCCTTGCATCTATAGAACCAAACAAACCTTTAGCATCCTTAATGCAGAACGATGAAACAAAATCCCATGATAGGTCTGAAAAATATTCACTGGCACTAAAACAGGGTCAGAAATCATCTGAGCTCACCAATGCACCATATCTGAAAGATAGAGGTAGTTCATCTGACAATTTAGACTCCTCTGTATCAAAACCTGCACAAAATTCATGTAAATCTTCTTCCTTTCCTACTCTGAAACACACAATTGAATCGCATAGTAATTCCATATCTCCTGTTTTAAGTCACAAGGAGAGTAAACAAAATATTGGTGGCAATAGTGATATCGAAAGAGTGCACCTATCATCCCCAGCTTTTAGACTGTCTCCCTCTCCCAGACCCGTGGGTCTCACCTGCCTGTCCTACACACCTCCAGCCTCTCCTGCTTGTCCCCCAGTCCACCCAAACTCCCGCTCCTCCACCCCAGACCACTGCACCCTCTCGCCCTCCCCAGCGGTCCCAAGTCGTCAGCTCTCCCCCTCACCCTCATACTCCTTCTGTTCATCACCCTCTCCGTCCCTATGGGGCAGCACACCAGACTGCGCAGATGGGGACTGTAAAAATAGAAAGGTACAGTGCATGCCCTTTCGCCATTACCTGCATGCAACTTGCATGCTCTACTGCTGAGCATTGGCATTCCTTCAATGAGTGACATGCATTCTCAATCACAGCCTCCCACATTGCTGGGAAACATGATATGCATCATACTCGTGCAAGAACAGTAAATCTTTGGCAAAGGGCATGTTTTGCGTTTGCTTGTGATCTTGGTTTAGGCAAAATTTGCATGATTTACTGCAAATATTTACTACGAATATACTTAAAAATGGTCATATCACAGTTTTTCTACTGTCTTATTGTGATATGATTGTTTTTCAAATGAATCATGGCGCCCATCCTTAGGGCATAGCACAGCTGTAGATAGTTTAATTCTGCTTTTGACTTTCTTTGACTTCTAAATCATTCTTTCCTAATATAGACATACAAGATCAAATCCACCTACAAGGCACTCGCTGCTATCCCCACAAATACTCTGCTCCTGGAACAGCAGGTGAGCTGCTTTATGTAATTGCTCTAAATGACAGCTATTATTAGTGTACAATTAATAATTGCATATCATTCGCTGTCAGTATAATGCAATTATATGGCTGCTGTTTTTCTGGATTCCATGCAATTGTATAGTCGTTAAAGAAGGTCATTGGATGCTAATGGAGGAGGGTGAAACTAAATCTTTTTTTTTATGTTGATGGACAGCAGAATGAAATTGTTCATAAGTGGTCAAAAGAAATCTTAACAGAGTGAGCAGAATGACTGATCCACATTGCATATCTCATTAAACATTATAATAGAGGTTAAAATGTACTGGACAGGGTCAGATATATAGTGAGATAATCAGTATATGAAGAGAACGCACTCAACTTTGGGATTTAGCCGCTTTAACAACCCTTTACTACCTACCCACTTGTTAAGGTCAGGAGAACGTCTTGGTTACGTATGGTAACCCTCGTTCCCTGAAGGAGGGAACGGAGACGTCACATCGGATGACCGACGAGCTGCAAAAAAGGACAGCATGACTCTGATCGGGCATCTTCGGGGATCTTCTCGGTGAGAAGAACACCACTAAACGAACAGGTTCCACTTCAAAGCGTAAGCGTGTCTCATAGACGGTGCTCTCGCTGAAGGGATGGTGTCAACTACCTCTTGGGGTAGGTCACCTAGAACCTCCGCGTCCCGTCCAGGGACCAGACATGAAGTTTCCAGAGGTAAGGACGTGGGTGCCACAGGGTGCCCCATCTCTGAGTCAGTAGATCCTTCCTCAGAGGAATCTGCCAGGGAGGGGCTGTGGC